CAACAATTTATTTTAGAAAATAGGCAAAAATTAGTAAAGTGTCTGTTTATTTTGAAACGCTTATGTAGTTCGTCGTAGTCCAATATTTAGTTAGGTATCAAACAGGTAAATTCAAGGTTCCGCGGCAAAACAAACCTCCCTCATACTATTTCGTGTGCTCCCACTATCTCCGCGTTCCGATATCTCCGAACCCAAATCTGTCCCGCTATCTCCGAATTCTTGAGTGACCCTTATAATCCAGTCACTGACTGCGTTGTTAGCTGTCATTGCATCCACGGCTGCGAAGCCCCGTGGATGGAAGATTTGATGAAAATTTAACCCGTGGGTTAGGTTAGGTTAGGTCAGGTTAGGTTAGGTTAGGTTAGGTTAGGTTAGGTTAAGTTAAGTTAAGTTAGGTTTGGAAAGTCTAAAAGCAGGAAGTAACCGAGGATTATAGGGGTCACTCTGAAATTCGGAGATAGCGGTACACGGAGATATGGGGACGCGGAGATAGCGGGAGGTAACCATACTATTTACCCCCACACTACAAACGGAGTAGACTATACCCCAGCTAGATAAAGCAAGGGATATGCATTGTGACTGTGTTTGTGAATAGTCTGTAGATATCGCCTCGGCTACTTACCCGGTAATTGATAAACCTTTTCAAAACATAATTAGACCGGTCGGTCGTCTCTATTTCTCATTTTAATTAACGAAATGCGGCAATTAAAGGGCGGCATTGAAGCGACAGAGCGTGTAAATGAAACAAAATGTATTTTCCAAGCCGTTATTGTAAATTAACCTTCTATTTACCACGATATTGGCCATTATTATTTTACTAAACTACCCCTTCACCCTCCCCCGCTACAGTTACTGTCACAGACCTCTCTACTCCCTCGCCGATCTTTCCTTCCGTCGCTCCCATTCAGACTTAATTAATTAGCGGTGCATTTTTATTTACATATTTTCCAATTAAGCGAGTCAACGTTTTGTATCCGAGAAGACCTTTGCGAGAGCTCTTCTGCAACAAAGGACAGTTGATTTATCTCTCCGTCGCTTTTCGATAAAAATATTAATTTGAATCTCCCCAAACAAGGTTGCCGATTCCCCCGACAATCGCGGGAGCGACCCGACTAGAATGTTACAACCATACAGCGCTCCTGAAACTGTAGATGTCGTTCTTTCACTAATGTTAAAAAATATCATACCCCTTAATAGAGTTATCATTCGTCCTATACTGTATATATGTACATATGTATATATACAAATAAAAATTACCTTTTTATGCATTCTACTATACATAGAGTTGCAAAAATACACTCTTTCTCTCATTAAAAACATGTTGTATTGAAAATTGATTACGGGAGACAGCAGTAGCGCTTTTTCCAGCGTTGATTTAGTCATTCAAAGATTTGTATTACAAATGTATCGTTGGTTTTCCGCCTTCGGTTTAGTACTGTATTAAAATCGTGTACAAGAACTATGTTTTACATCAACGCACTCGTTCGTTGGCTCAATTAATAGAAGTTTCAAAATGAAATAAATGCTTTTATTTAGTAGCTAAACTGAAACCCTTTATTTAATTTCAACATACAGCAAAGTTCTTCATTCAAGTAAATTCATTGTATTGGCCATGACATAGCCAACAAAATGATGTATAGCAAAATGTATTAACAACATAAACTCATACGTCCTCCTACATAAGACCTATAATTGTTTGACGGGAGAATTAGAGAGACAAGTCAAAATTCAGGGTTGAATATGAAGGGTAAATCAACGGTCAATTGTTAAGAAACAGAGCTGAACAAAGGTAGGCCTAATAGAAGTTTGCACGTCTCTAAAAGGTGTTTTAAGGTCCATATAGTATTACGTCTAAAACAGTTCAAAGCAACTACTGTAGGTAATGGTAGTACAAGAAACGCAGATCAAAGTTGCCAATACCTGATACCTCAGATTCGCATATAAATAACACGTTGAAGTAACATAAAGCCACAAAGCTGAGTAGCAATTATCAGACAACACTAGGTACTCGGATCACAAGCTAGAGGCTAGCGCTCTCCACTGTCAGACGGTGAAATATCAGATAAACAATAAACATTGTAGTATAGCGATAGTGATACAAAGTATGGTCAATGGCTACCCTCCGGCTCCGGCTGTGATACACAATTGCACCGAGTTATCTGTGTACAAGGAGATGGCCCGAGGCCACAGCACCACTGAAACTCTATCGACGACTACCGCATTGATACATGTGACGAAAAATTCACCAAGGATACACGGTTTTTATTTGATCAAGTCCTCTATCTTTCACTTATTGATTCATAAGGGTAAGTGGAAATTACGAACAAATCGGATTTGTTCAACGGTAACCCCAAAGAATACAGGAACATCAAACATACTACATACTAGTACAAATACAAAAAAAGGTAAATAGCAGTTTGAGACAAAAAACCTCACCAAAGATAACTACCAAAGATAATCTGCTAAAATGTACTTTATTTTGTAAGAAACTAATGAAACTGATTCTCGTTTCCACGTTTTTTACCAGACCGTACGGGGAATACTTTTCGGCACATTTGGCACATACTACACTACAATGTTACTGTTAAACTGATATTTCAGAGCCCAAAGCGCTAACCTGTAGAAGTGTGATTTGTATCTCTCAATTTGCCTTAAACTTTCTGAAAGAGTAGACAGCATTTTACTTTGGGGCTACATACATAAACACGAATGCTTAAAAGAAACTACATGTTTAACTTATTATACCCAACAAGTTTTAAGGATGACACGATTACAAGAATAAATAAATACAGTAAAACATCCAAATTCTCATTTCTACAGATAATGGGATTTTAAATAAAAATGCTACTAAGATAAAAGTGGAATTCTTTAACGGGGAGACGTCACCTCGTCTCTTTGTCCACGGCAAAGCTGCAGCCAGTAATTAACAACAATACAATTACCAACCAAGTGGGCTTAATTAATTGTGAACCACCAACGACACGGCAGCGAAAAATGTGATGTAAGACGATTCATTAGACTGAGGGACTTTCTGTTGGAGGCTAAATACTTATATGACCTCACTCTGCCTCACTGAATACCTCACGTTGTTACTACCTACTTACCTAACTGACGTTTAAACTATTTGTTTTTAAGATGGTTTGGTAAGGATCACATTCTATTCATTAAAAGTGATGCTAAGCTCGTCCGTATTAGTCAGGGATTGATTTTAATATAACTCTTAATTCAGCGTCGGGGAGTAAGTCATTAAGTACTGATTATTATACAACAAAACAGATTAAACTCAATCGTAGCAATCATATTTCCGAGGCCAAAGGATGTAGCTAACAACACAAAAGGGATTTCCTTGCAAAACGAATACTTTTAAAATCAACTATCAGTAAATTGGTATAAAAAGTAAAACAAAATCGACGGAATACTATTACAACAATATGACACACGATTTATACTACATTAAAAACACACATAGCGTTTGATCACCGTCTCCCCACATATTTATAAATACCCATTGCAGCCAACCTACTGCCGTTAAATTATAAATAACCGATGTTTTCTCAGAACTAGCGTCGTCTAAACAGCGGTAAACAGGCGTAAATATACGGGTTAATAGTACAATATGGCTACAGACCGCGAGCAGCTGTTGATCTGTCTACAGTGAGAATACACAAATACTAACTACTAGCTTTACTAAGGTCATAGATGCGCAATATACGCAAGCAATTGAAAGTTACAAATTAACACTCACTAACATTTATTCCCTTGTCTGTGAAGCATTGTGAATTTCTAAAACATTACTGGAACGTTTCAATGTTTTGCAAACGACTATCTAATAAGATGAAACCCAAAGAAATGGTTTTTAAATTCTTTTCGGGTGCCAATTAATGTTTAAGCAAGCGATATTTTTATATTGGTTTATTTCTATACTAAAATACTTATCAAATGTGGTATATGATGCTATCTCCTATAGAAACTTAAAAGAACGATTTATTTTACTTTGTGAATGTAGCCTTTACGGAGCCAGGGTAAAGCTACAGGTAACAAATAACCCTTAACCTTCGCCTTAACTGGCTTTGCAATCAGAAAATATTCTAAACTCTAAATCCACCAAGAGTAGCCATTTAAAATTAATTGTTTGGGTATGTTCAATAACTACAAATTCTATGAACTCATTACATGAAAAAAATGGAAATGGATTTTCCTTTACATCTGGGTTAACGATTTTGCTAATGTCAATATTTAACGCAATAATCATGTTTCCTGAGAGACCTAAAAGTATTTACAAGAATGTTATAATGTCCCGTTTAGTCTGTGATCAAACCAAGTTATTTTTACTCTGATAAAGTGACATCAGACACATGTTCCTTAACACACATGTATAATGTTCCTAAACATGGGAATTGAAAGTATACTTCACAAAACCACTACCCTAAAATACTTTCTATTCACAAACATGATTTCGAAAAGTTTCATAAACTGATTCACGTCTATAAAAACTTGCATTGTTTAACTGCCAAGATTTTAATTGAATTTATCAATTATGTAATGATATTGACTGTTTGAATTTATAGAAAAATAAAATAAAACTTGTCTGACCGTACCACAACATACGCGAAAAACCACCTTGACTATCTTAAAAAAAAGTTTACTGTACAGTTAATTCATGTTTTATTTTATTTCAACAATAAACAAAAAAATTCTATTCGATGACATTATTTGCTTAACAAACTGATTCGACCGTTAGGATAAACCCCCAAACCCACAGAACCCTGCGTTACGACCAAATGGGATGATTCTGTACCAACTCAATCTTACAATCATCAACACGAAATTCTAACCTTTCCGATGGACAGAAATTGAAGAGAAACACTGATATTAGTTTTCCAAAGGTCACCAACAAGGGTAGTAACAGTAACAGTAAGGGTCGGTGGTTAAGTATTGTAGGGGTTTGACACTTTGACACTGCTGCACCTCCACCACACGGACCCCGAGTACTCGCTAACCTGGAAGTCTAGAGTGTCTCCAGTACTCACCCGCCCCCTTGGGGTCCAGCTGGTAGGGCGGGATGCCCATGTGGGCGGGGGGCGGCTGCGTCAGGTGGTCGCCGTTGTGGCAGAAGAAAGGAAGTCCAGCTCCCGGGTGTGTCGCGCCCAGGCCCATCTTGCTCGCCTGCAAAACACAAACACAAACACGTTACTTTAATGGACACACAATTTACTGATTCACATTAATGTTATACTTGGCTAGGAAATCCATGTAACCTCATAGTAGCCTACATTAAATGAACATTGTATACCTACTTTAATTGTAATAAGAGGTTAGAATCGTTGGAATAGGACAAATAATTTGCTTTATCTACATTTAAGTATTGCTTTGAAATTTCATTTACCATACTATCATCATAATAAATATACCGGGTGGTCATAATCTATGGGACACATTTTAAGATTTAACAAATAAATAACCAATTAACTTAGAAACATTGAAATTTTGTATTAAAAAGCAAATTTAAAAAAAATAGTATTCAACATAGCAATAAAAAATATATTACAGTTACATAACTACAACTAATCTAACTAAACTATTTCTACGTGCTCTCCATGGTTTGCGCGCAAAGTTTGTAGTCTGATATTAATCAACAATCTTTGCAAACACTCTCTCCATGACATAGCAATATAGAAAGGTCTAAGGGTGTATGTCTCGAGAACGTGGAGGCCAAGGAATTGGACCATCCCGTCCAATCCGAAGACCAGGACAGTTGGCATTTAGGTAGTCGCGTACTATCTTACAAAGTTTAATGTTTGATAGTCAAATGTCATACACAGCTGGTGTAGCAAGGTCCATTGTTGGCCAGCTGATTATGCCACAGCAAAAGTCATTGACATTACAACATAACTTAGGCTACACTCACAGATCAGGTGATTTAGACTTTTAAAAACAACTTTTTATAATCACCAACAATTTCGTAATTATTGTTTTGCAGTTACTCCATAAAACCTTTAAATTTGCTATTTAACGAAACGGTTCTCTTGTTTTTAAGTTGCTTGGTTATTTATTTGTTTAACTTAAAAATTACAACAACATATTGATAGAATCTAAACAGAAAATTCTATTCTATAGAATATTCTACATAAAAATATAGAATATGACTTTAACAGTGTTTTTATTATTTATTTTAAGGGATATGGTGCTCGATTTACATCGAGGAAATGTCCAAGTTATTTAGTAAGAATGTTATGTTCAGTTAAAGAAAGGTAATAAAGGGGTTGTAGATTTTTTCTCATAGTTTTACTTTGTAATTTAGAATATGATAAGCTACAGGTAAAGAGGGTTGACTTAAGTTGAAGAGTTATAATAGTGTAATTACTGTTTATGTACATATCAACAATATCAAGTAATTGATTTCATTGCTACGATACACTGTTAGTTTTTTATCCATTGGCTTCAAATATACGAGGGGATTTTAAAGTAAGTGTATGTACGTTCTTAAGTTCTACTTTTCAAACCAAATCAAGTTAAATAAGAGTTAAATTTTAAAACTTGCATCAGCGTCACTTAATGTACTTGCTTAAAGAATTTGAACCCATTATCTAAATTTAAAGAAACAAATTTTACTACATAAGTGTTTTGTGTCTAAAGCATACAGATTGTATAGATGTGTTTTACATAAAACGGCAGGTCTAGAACAGCATAATCTCTTTCGCGTACTCCAGTACCACCCCCGTTGCGAAGCATCGTTGGTTGCGAAGCATGGGTATAGCAGCTTTGTTTTACTCAATTATCAACCTATACACTTGTCAACACGAAACAGCCTCTTCTTAATCTTCTCGTAGTTGAGACAAATAAAGTAGTTTAGCTTTGCTTGACTACCTTGTAAACACTATTTTTACTCATCAACTTCATCAAACAGAATTAAAAAAAAAAAAAAAAAAAAATACTGTTTTAAAGGCTGATATTTTTGGTTGCAAAATCGATGCAGAGGGCCTTCTATTAAGAACCACGGGGAGATTGTCAGACGGATGCATATATAACATTGCACATATTGTAGCATACTCAGTAGTTTGCAACAAAATGCTGTCCGACACGCCCGTAAATAAACGACCGTGAAAAGTTGGAAGGATGAAATAAATTGAAGTAGGCCTAGATAAAACAGCAATGGCCACGGTCATAACAGGTAGTGCAAAATAAATATATGAGTGGAGTCCGAACATGGAACACATGTTGAACAGCTGATGGAGTGGTAGTAACTATCAAAGTGACTCTCTTATCTTATCAAGAACACACGATGAAAGAATAATAGGTTGTCGGAGAATAAACAGCTCGCCTTTGATGAATAATGAAAACAACTTCAAAGCAACACGCTGCCGAACAGCCACCACTCCACCCCCCACTCCTCGACTCCCGGCCCGAAATTAGACATTAAAATTTGTTACCATCATGCTCTAATTGAATCTCTTTTAGGCCGGCTGGAGAAAAATTGAAGGGTTGTGCACGAAAGCTGTTGTCAGCCTTTGTTGTCGATCAGGACACTAGGCGTGGTTTACACTAACGAATCTATTTGCATGAGATATTTAGTTTCTTCGTAAAAGGAAAGTGAGTAAATTATGAAAAAAATATAAGAGAAAACACCATATAATACAGAAAAAAATGTATTTAATCTTTAAATTAACTATATTGATTGATTGGATATTAAATGATTGCCTACATACTAGTAAATCTTTTTTTTTTATTAAAACAACTTAGCTATGTTATTGCATAACTTACTCTCTTTTTGCCAAGAAATATATATTTATAAAAGGAAATATTATTCTTTTACTGTAATGGAGAAAGGTAAAACATGAACAATTGTAAAATGTGGGTAAAGGCTTCATTGAGTTAAAATGGCGAATGAAGTAATGTGTTTTAAATAAATAATTCTTCCAAATATTAAACCAGTACAATTCGTCATAGTTGAAGATTGAACAAGTATAGTTGTTCATGTATTCAATGTCGTATTACACAACAGAAATAATCCATACATCGACAAGTGACGCCGGCCTAGAGACGTAAGTCACACAGTGGTAAGTTCTGTCAGGAGATCATAATCAATAGTTTCTATTAATTGATCTATTTTCGAGAAACTAACAGTCGGAATATACGTTTATTCAAATAAAACGAGTTACTCCAAATGCACTAAAGTGAAAAAAATCAGCAAACCCTCGAAACGAGAGAAGATCGAGCCGGATCGAATTATGATAATTGGCGTGAAACATTGATAATATATTCCGGGCGGGCGGCCCAGCGACGATGCGATAATTGTACAGATCTCGAGAAAGAAAGGAGCCGTGTGATTAATCTGACCGCCCCATACCTCACGACCGGTTTCCCGTATAAATATTTGTACTTAGGAGGTAGTTGTTAGCCGATGAGTGGTGGGGGACCGCGTCAGACGAAACGAACCGGTTTTTAAACAAACAACTCCAATGTCTTATTCACCACCACCGGTTACAATTACCTGCTTGGCCATCGTCATGATGTCCCTAACAACCATCAGAAGGTTGGGTTCGATAGGTTCGGACTCCATCCATGCCAGGACACTTTGTAGGTGAGTGGCGGCCTCGGCAGCAGTAGGAACCGAGGCGGATTCTTCAGTTTCCTCTTCAGGTTCTGGCTTTACAACAGGGACATCAGTTGGTTCTGGGAGTGTTCCCACCCAATGTGCGAGATCTTCGTCGGTCACCTCCAGTCCTAGATCGTGAGCCAACCACTGAAGCTCGAGCAGCAACATTCGGTCTTCTTCTACTTGTAGTGGTGTTGACGTAGACTTACCGAAGGATAGAGAAACTCCGACCGAGGGGTCTGTGGGGACTGGGTTTGCCCAGCAACGACTGAACGTTTCTGGTCTGATATTCAACCAAGCGCGATGTAACATAGGGAATGCGTCTTTTAGGGTAAAGTTTGCCAAAAATTGGGAGACCGATAGCCATCTTTGCTGTTCTAAAGAAATATCGTGGAGAAGTAGCATAGCGTAACGTGTTCGCAACTCGGAGGCGACTAGAGTTTGATCGGGGAAAACAGAGTAGGGATTATCAGGTTTTTGGTAGATGATAAGCTTGACTTTGCCGTCGCTCGCTATGCAGTCTGCGACAGGAGGAAGAAAATCCGCATGCTCAATGACTAGAATCGCCCCTCTTTCGTTGAGAGAGAGCGCCGCAGGGGCAAATTCTCTGTGGAACCACCAAGTAAATAGGTCGGGAGTCAACTTCCCAATGCCACCACCTGCATAGACGACTGGTTGACTCAGCATATTTACGTTCCTAAGACATTTTGGTCTCCATTCTCTTCCTGTAATCAGCATCCTCGTTCTGTGGCGACCAGAACGGTTCCCAGCCATCAGGACCCAGACTCTGTCATCGCAAGTTACGTCCAAAGTCTTGTCTGGGAGACTCGTCCAATCCAGCTGGAACGCGAACGCACTGTATATCTGGTCATCAGAGTACTCTCCACTACTGACCACGGCCAAGGGGTCTTCTGCGTCCGCTTCAATCTTAATCGACGCGGAGGTCGCTTCTGCGGATGCCGTTGTAGAGTTGCCGGTTGAGGTCGTCGCCGAGCTCTCAGCAACTCCATACTTGGCTTGCCAAACCTTGAGCCATTCCTTATCCAGACCCCTGACAAAGTCTTCACTAGCACCGAGTCTTCTAGAGAGAATCGCCGCTTTTTTGAGGACGTCGGGTGGTCCGAACTCAGCTTCTGGGTCGATCTGTCTCCTCTCGTACCATCTAAACAAAATCCTCTCCAGATTCGCCTCTCGAAAAGTCTTCGCTTTTGGAGATCTGCGCTGATCCGCCAAACACGTGTCAGTAGGCTCTTCTTTAATAACATCATCATCTTCATTATGTTGGTTATATTCTAGGAGTTTTCTTTTCTTAGGAACGACTACGGTGATGGGGGTGTCACCGGATTTCGGTTTTTTCTTGACTTTACTCTGAGATTTTACGTCCTGTCCATCGGGCGACATTTGATAATGTTTTAATGCACTATATTTTTATCTACATCGTATTTAACGGTTTTATAACGCACTGATTTTATTAACGGAGTAGTTTTTTATATGCAGTACTACAGTATTGATCTATCGCTTTTACGTAAGATTAATAGAAGAACCGTTCATAAAGCTATACAAGACAACC